TACAACAAATTGTCAGGCAAAGAGTTATATAGATTGTTCAAAGAATATAGTTTGGTATTTATAGCCAAGATACGTTTAGCTTGGCTATATGCCTTGGCAGCTAATTTTATATTTTTTGCAAAAGATTCAAGATCTATACAAGGTAAGCTTTATTTTGTTATAAAGATTTGAGGTATCAGCTACAATAAGCCCTTACTTATGCTGTGCCTAATGCAGTAAATGAATAAGCCCACTTGTTAAATAATAGTACCTGCCAGTATGTTTAGGTACAAATAGCGTATGAGAAGACCCAAAAATACTAATTAACAGCAAACTCTATGCTACTATGTAATGTCCATGTACATTGTACATAGCCACCCCTTTCTGGTCACTAAGGTTACACCACAATAAATCTGTCTCTCCCCCCTCTTTCTCACATGTGTGTATAACTACATACTTCATACATCATTTTTATAGAAACTTAATTTTATAAAGCTCTTTCATTTTGATTAACATAATCTGATCATAATTCAGCTTAGAGGGAGGATGAGAGAAAGAAAAATAAGTTTAATAAGCCAATACACTATCTCTATTATTTGGGCGGTAGCCTATATGTGGGGTTGAGGTTGATTTTTCAAGGTGGCGGCATAATTTGCAATTTTCAAACGCTTACCACTCTTTCATCTTATGTTGTACAGCCTTATAAATGGCTTAGATTGGCTCACCTTTACTAAGCAATTCTCCTGGTACCTTTATAAAGGCCTCATTGCAGCGTGACCACTTCTGGAGAATAGGCCCAAATTCAAACTTCTGCAAAATTCTTTGGACTTTTTCTTCTTTCATCTTCTGTCACCACGGAAATCATTGAAACTACATAGCCTCTTGTGATGGCTTTTATATCATTCCTTTGACCTTGGATCTAGGACAAGACAAGTGCTTTCATTATTTGACTGAGATCAAGTTTGTATAAATACCCCTTACAAGTTTACAAGTAAATCAAGTAATTAAAACAAGTTTACAAGTAATCAATACCCCTTACAAGTTTACAAGTTTACAAGTTTACAGATTTACAAGTTTCCATAATACCCCTTTCTTTTTTAGATGCTACTTTGAAAATTACATGCGCAAAGTTGCCAAAGCTACGGTACTCTAGTCAGTGGAGTGTAGTCTGCTTGCACAGTCGCTTCAATCTTTTCTTGATCTTTGCTAAGGTTATTTGCAAGTCTGTGCCAACTGCTCAAACTAAGAGATCACCAGTTCTTTTAAGAGCAAATAGGTAACACAGGAAGATCATGACTCTCAGACAGAAAACACGTTTTCCAGACAGTTGCAGCTCCGACGGCGTGTGGAAGGCCTTAATTGTTTTGTGGGTCTTGTTTTTCTACCGTGACAACCAAGCTTATACAATGAGCCCATAATATTTTATATGCCTATGCTTTTGATTAAAATAGGTGTGGGTGACATGACGCACGAGTGAGTTAAAATGGGGTCTTTAAGTAAACGAAAAAACAAATTACTGTGAGCATTGTTGTGATTATGTCTGAACAAGTACGTATCGTCATTATCAATTTGAAGTTGGAAGAAATAAAAGAATGAAAGTGATGGATGAAAATGAAAGTAGCGAAGTAAGCACTTCAGTTTAACTGCAAATCAGACCCATTTTTAACCATTATGCTGAAACTTATTTATGTTATACTTTATTTGTCTTACTGTGCATTAGATGTAAATTATATCTTTTTTGCTGGAGTAGAAATTAGGAACTGACATCAACAATTCATTAAGCAATATTATGATTGATGTATGTTTATGCCACCACAAGAGTTAGAATCCTTTTGAAAATTATGAGCTCCGGATTGCAGACACTGATGAATTTTGCCAGAACACTAATAAGTGCATTAGAAATTATTTAGGTAAGCATGATGCAAAATAAATATAATTGAGCATCAGCTGTAATTTTTGGACTGCATGAACAGATAAGTTTTTATAATTGCTGAAAAGTTTTACTAATTGAAAGTATATAGAATACCAGAACTTACAATGATATAGATTTTCTAACGTGAATCTAAAAATAGTAATGTAAGTATTGTTAATCAAAG